TTTTCTTCTCCTCTTTTTCTCTTCTTTCTTTGTCTCTTTTTTCTCTCTCTCATCACAACATGCTTAGCAAAAAAGAATACACAACAACAAAGGTAGTATATTTTATTTATTACCTCCAACAGCTCCAGCCCTTGGCCATCTTCCACCCGCTCCGCCCTTTCTGCACGATGAGCAGACCCTGTGGATGGATGCAGCGGGTGGAAGGCAGCCTGAGCTCCATGCCCTAGGCTGAAGCTCACCCCGCCCCCACCCCCATACTGCCCAAAGTAGTGCAGCAGGGACAGGAGTGGGAGTAGCCACTGGAGGTGAGGAGAAACTGGCTTGGCCCAGCAGGGCTGTTCTGCTCCCCTCACCTCCAGCTGTGGCTCCTGCTGCCCCATGCAGCACCACTCAGGGCAGGGGGAGTTTCAGCCCTGTGGCTTCCTTCCAGGGCATGAAGCTCTGGCTCCAGCTCCACCTGCCTTCCATCTCCTCCTGCTGCCCAACACGATGAGCAGCCCCTTCAGGCAGGCACAGTGGGTGGAGAGCAGCCAGAGCTCAAGCAAGAGCTCCATGCCCTGGGCAGAAGCCCCTGAGCTGAAGCTTCCCGCCTGCCCACCCAGGATGGCATGGTGCAGTGCGGCAGTGGCAGAGGCAGCAGCAGCAGCTGGAGGGGAAGGGGGTAAAACAATCTGCCCGGCCCCAGCTAGCCTGCAGCTTGTGATGCAGCTGTAGCTGCTGGGTTCTGCATGGGGCATGTCAGTGGCTGTGGCTGGTGGCTGCCAGGCTTGGGGCCATCGGCGTCTCTGAGATGCCCAGGCAGCCTACTACCCATCCAGCCTTCATCCACGCTGTCACAGAGCCACAGCCACTGCTGCAGCTCCATCACAGCCCCGCCCAGCCTGGGCACAGGCAGCCAGAAGCAATCTAGCTGTGTAGCCCCCACAGTCCCAGCCTGAGCCACAGCCTGCTGGGAAGGACCCATCCCCAGCAGCCCAACCTGGGCTGGCACCACCCTGAGGTCAGCTCAGCCCCACAGCTACAGCCCCACAGCTGCAGCCCCGGCCCCGGGTGGACAGCAGGGCTATGCCGGCCAGCTCTGGCCAGGCCTCCTGCCACCAGAGCAGAAGCAGTGGGGAAAGCAGCTGCTTCCAAAGGGAGGGGAGGCCTACTCTAGCACCCCACAGCTTCCAGCCTGAGCCACTGCAGGCATGCGCCTATGCAGCAGCATTAAAATTGTACTTACCTGAAGGGATAGAAAGGGCTGCCCTGCAAAGAGACACAGTTTGTCCCAGTAGAAACACCACCTGCCCTGAGGGCGAGTGAAGCTGCCCTGGAGGTAGCCCTCTCTGTAGTGGGAGGAGTGATGTAACCCCAGCAGGGGGTTGAATGAGGGAGGTTAGCAAAAGCCTGGGACAAGTCCTGGCCTGGGACTGGCTGAGGAGGCTTGTTTAAAAGGTAGAGCATTTTTCCCCAAGAGAGAAAACAAAGGGGAAGAGAGACAAGCTGGAGGCCAGGGAAAGGACCTCACCATGGCTGTGTCTCCGAGAGCCCCTGGCAGAGCCCTGCAGAGGCAGCAGCCAGAGGCTGCACCAGAGAGAAGCAGTGCATCCTTTCTCCCTCTCCTCCCTTTGGACCCCTGCCAGGGCAGGCGCAAGAGAGGAGCTGCCTGTGAGGAGACCCTGCTACAAGCCCTGTGTGGCTGGCTGAGCACAGTAGGGTCAGGGGAAGAGGCTGGAGACTGCCCTGGTGTTTCCCCATGAATGAGAAGGCAGGCTCAGGGTGCTGGGGGAGCCCTGGGCTAGAGCACAGACACCTGCATTTCAGAAATCAAAAGTGAATGTCTATTCACTTGCAAATTGGTTGAATCTTTGCAGGTTAGGCTTTGCAAAGATTGAATCAATTCAGGCTCCGGCTTTTTAAGTGTCTGTCCCTAGCCTTAGAGAAGCTAGATGCTTTCAGGTTAACAGAGCAAGATGAGATGCAGCTTAGGATACTGAAGGAATTGGCTGAGGTAATTTCCAAGTCATTGGTTAACCTCTCTGAGAACTTGCAGATGTGGGGTGAGGTCCTGGAAGGGTCAATAAAGTACCCATCTTTAAGAAAGGGAAGAGGGTGTATCTGGGGAATTAAAAACCAATCAGCCTGACCTTGATACCTGGAAAGATCAAAGAGCAGGTCTTCAAAGAATCAGTAAAGCAAGAGATGTGGGTTTGACCCCCTCAGGAAGAGATAAGCATAAGCAGGTCACTTGCATCCTGGGTGAATGCGCTCACCATGAGCTACTACATAAAAAGGGGAGGGGCACAGCCTCTTCCTCTGCCTGGGTTTTGAAAAAAAGTTGTCACTGCTATGTTTTGTGCACAGTTGGTATGCTGTAAGATGATGATCTAACAGATCAGCCCCATCAGTGTAGAAATGTCTAGTCTGTGGATCCAGATGGAACTTAGGGGTAAACAGAGTATTTGGCTTTATTCTCAAATAAAGCTGAGATCCTTGGCTTTATTAAGAGCAAAATGCACTTAAGCATACCCAGAAGCAAAACTTGAAGCACCTATAGTGTCAAAACGGTAGGTGCCTGGGGATTTTAACTAAGCCCAGGGTAAGGTTGCAGCTGAGCTGGAGTTTTGAGGATCTAAATTCTTATGTCTGTCACCTAAATCCTTCCTAAGTCCTACTTTAGTCACATAAATGCATTTGGAAATCTGTGCCTTCATGCCTTTAAACTTTGTACCCTTAATACCGGCATATGAGAGACAGCAACAGAAAGAAATCTTGGTCAAACAATCTATAAAGCACAATTTAGCATGTACACTATGCTTTCATTTTAGTCTATAGCACAGACCTGCCCACTGCTTCTAATTTATGTTTGCCTGCAAGTCCATTAACACTGTATTATGTTCAACACCTGCAGAAAACTTTATTCTTAAACTTAAATGTAGTTTTTCATTGTACTTTAATTTGCACTTCCACAGCTCTCTTTGTCTGAAGATCTAAAAGCTTGCTGTGGTGCTAACCTAATGCTGCTTGTTCGTTAGTGCATCACCTTGTACTTTAAAGCACTATGGAAAATAAAGCAGGACAAAGAGATCAGGATGTCTGCTAGAGAACTAACTGGTTTTGTCTAAAAATTTCTTGGTGAACAAACCAAACCCTCTCAAAAAGTTTTTATTCCTTGACAAGTGGTTGGGTATGTGGGTGCACTCAACACACAGGTCACCACATCAATTCTATTACACAATGCTGCTACACACTGTAGTGTCACTCGTGTGGTTCTTCATATTAAGGTTGCCAGCTAAAACGAGTTATTATCAGTACAGTAAAGCAAGCATTGGGGCAAAAATTGCTGAGAATCTGAAGCAGAGTCATCAAAAATATGTTGTGATGTTGGAACTATTCCTTTCTCCCTGCTTTATTTATTTATTTTCATTATTATTTCTGAAGTCCCTATTCTCTTGGTGAAAGAAGGATTCTCTGATCTCACAATGATTAATGTCCCTCTTCTTGAAGTATGCTGCTAAGTACTATTATGTGTTCAGCCAAAAATGTGTCTGCTTGTCTGAATTTCTTCTGACACCTCTGTTGTGCCACTACTCCTTTCCTGTAAGTAGTTCACATACTGGGAAATGAGTGGGTAGGAAAAGCACTGAAATGAAAGATAAACCTAAGTGAGAATCTCTGCTGAATTGAAGACTTTGCTTCAGACAGTGCTTCTCTCCTGTAGAACCATGTCAGCAATTCAACTTGAACAGATGATTGCCACATTCCTATTAGCATGGGGGGGTTGTGGGGTAGAAAGGGAATTGCTGCTTTCCCAGATGCTTTAATCTCCATGTGATGTCATTCTTCATATCCCAGTCATGCTTCAAAGCTGCCAGAGAAATGAAATAGAGCTCTGAGTCCCAATTTTAAGATTACAGTGACTTTAGAATACAGATTTAGATTTTTGATGGAGGTTGGTGACAAGGAGACATTTAAACGAGAAACAAAGGTTTAGAGAATTAAAATGGAATAGGTTATTTTATTTTCCCTCATATTTGAGCTGCCACATTGAGAGTGCTAATATGGATCCATTCCCAGTGGCTAAGCCTAGGATCTATACCTGACAAAGTTTTGGTGATGCTGGGTAAATCTCAGACCATTCAGAGTTTGAGGTCAGCCTGGCATCTGGTACTTACACAAACTATCTTAATCTCTTAAATATGCTAAACTGAAATTGCATGGGAAATGGATATTTTGGTGAGATTGCTAATAGTGAATGCTACAGTCTGGCTAAGATTCCTTTTCTGCTTCACCAGCAGTCAACTGTAAGTGGATTCTCCATGTTTGCAAGCCCCATTGGGTCTAGGCAGTGACTAATAATTGTTTCTCATTCTGGATTTCTCAGGCACAATCCCAGGTACAGATGCTGTGTCTGATACTCTACTTGGGTGATGGGCACCACAGCCCCCTCCTCCTCAAGCCCTTATATGCATGCATTCCCAGAGTCCAGTTAGCAATGGGACCTTAGGTTTTTATTAGAACTTAGGAAAATGTGGCACAAAGACAAAGAATAGGGGCCTAGTGAAGGAATTTCCTAACCATAGACATTTGGTCCTAGATCCTCAAACATATTTAGCTGTCTAGCTCCCAAAGTGGAACTTCACTCCATTGAAATCAATGGATGTTAGGCATCTAAATAAAAAGCTTGTTACCAAAATACCTTTTGAGGACTGGGCCTGTACTTTGAATAAAACACAAGAGTTATTTATCTTTGAAAATCAGTAACATCCTGAAGATGTCCCTCAGTCTGTTCTCAACCACCCTGTGAGTCCTGAGATAGAAAGAAGAGCTACCTTAATAGCCTTTCTGCCTTCTCTCTGTAACTTTTTTACCCAAGTGCTTTGGCTACAGAATTCCAGGATCCAACCCCAGCAGCACCACCTCTAGCTCTCTAGTGAAAAACTCAGAGTCAACAGCCCTACCAACCGAAAGTCCATTGTCACAGTGTTTCACACCTGCTCATTGTCTGGCTCACTCTGAGGTGTCCTACATGACAGCATGAGTAAAATAGACTGGAATTTATTATACAAAATGAAGTTGACAATAAAAATGACATTCACAAAGACAATTAGATTTCATGATTGGACACATAGGGTGCATCTAGGCGAGCGCGGTCGTGTGGTACGTGGAACCGCGAACACCTTTGCAGCGCCACATACTGCACAATCTGGTGTTCTTCACGCTACAAGGTCACACTGCCCAAGCACGAGCTGCTCTTGGTTGTTTTGTTTTTTTTTCCGTGGGTTTTTTGACTGTTGGATAGTTCCTGGGTATCCAGGGGTCAAAAAACCCCACAGAAATAAAAAAAAACAGAGTAGCACACAGTTGAGCAGTGTGCACTGCTGAAAAGCGGAGCCAGGCCATCTGGAGCTGCACTGTGGCTGCCAGCCAGGCTCCGCCTGGCAGCATCACTGTAACTGCAGGCCCGGGAGACCCCCAGGTAAGGCTGCTGGAGCCAACCCAGTGCTAGCCCCAGCCTCCCCTACTGCCCCCAAGGTAATTTACCATGCGCCAAAGCACGTGTAGCACGGGCATTCTCCAAGGACAAGTAGTTGCAATGCAAGGTGCACTGCTGCTAGTTGTCCCCAGGGAGCCAAACATCCACACACACCTGGACGTGCCCATATTGGCTACTTCTCTTTTGGCTAAAAATGTTACTTCCACAATAGGTAGGAATCTTTAGATAACCCAGGTGCTGGGACCCAGCTACTATACAGTATTCAACATCAACACCAGGGGTGCCTGTACACATGCATCAAGGCTGCTCTGATGCGTTGTAATTACAGCATGTCAGAGTAGACTCGATTAATCAAGTCTGCTGGAGTGCAGTAATTACCACGCTCCAGCAGACTCCAGCATTGTGTGTATTAACATCTCCATGCTGAAAAATGGTAGCGGGGATGCTTTAACTAAAGCTCATTCAATGAGCTTGAGTTAAAGAACCTGTGCCACCATTTTTCAGCAGAGGGATGCAGATGCATGTGACGCTCTGGGTGCTTTAATTACAGCAGCATAAGCACTGTATAGCAAAAGAATGGCAAATTGTACACAAGTGCAAAAATACTACATATGTAGGTGGAAAATTGTCATCTGTGCACATAAACAAGTTGATATCCTTACTATGCAAAACATATGTTTAATGGTATTAATATTCATTATTTACTACAGTTGCTGTTAGAATTTAATTTGGGATCTTGATATGTACTGTGGTAGGGGTAGGGGAAGTTCCAGAGTGGGCAGCAGCTGGCTGTATAAGAGATGCTACTACCAGACAAAGAAAGGAAAAGAGGGGAAAGGGACTTATAGAAATTGATTAGGGTTTCATTTGGCATATGGATTAAGCTAGCATTTGTGTGAAATCTTACTTTGCTTGAGCCAGAGTTCTAAACAGAAATAAAATGGAGCTGTCTGTATTATATTGTAGTGACTCCGCAGAACTCCCTTTGGAAGTGTTCATAAATACTATAAAAACTTTAATAACTGTAAATCTTTCATGATGCATCTGGAAAATGCCTGTGATATTTTTTGTATCCTTTTATACCATTATTCATATGACTCCATTATTAGATAAGGGAATATGTTTGCATTCAGCAACATTGCATTCAGCTCATGGAATCTTACACTCTGAAAGAAACTGTTTACCACCAATCAAAAATACATTTTTAACTGAAGCAGTTACCCTAAGAGCTTTCTGCATTTTTCTGTTTTCCCTTTTTTCCCCCCTCAGAAAAGTTTTTCTGATTCTTTTTGTTCCTTTTGTTTTTCTTGGGGGCAGAGTTTCCAATTATTATCTGGGTTGCTTGTGGTAAGGTTGCTATCAAGCTAATAGTTTGTTTGCAAGAGTTTCCTGAAAGATTATCAAAGCAAAACCAAACTGTCTGGAGGATGATGCTGGGTTTTTTGAAGGGCTTTGGGGGGTGGGTTTGGGGGGGTGGTACTTTCACACTATCATTCTTTGATAGTCACTTCCTCATTTTCCATTAATGCCAAGTGAATTATCAGGAATAGAACAGGAGATGACATTATGATTTTTTTTATATCACCTCTTAGCTGTAAATGAAAATTTGATCTCACAAGCTGAAATCAGCATTTAAGTACCCCCCCCCAAATTCTATGAGTCATGTTATTCTGAACTAAACATTTTAATTAGTTACTACATAATTTAATTATTACTACTGTTGCTGTGAATCTAATGGTTGTTCCACATATGACATGCCTGACAGATATCCACAAACTCAGTGACCTGAAAAATTTGTCATCTAAGCATTCATACCCTCTCCTGTTCTGCCCATTGATATATACATTATTAATAACAGCCTATCACACACCATGCACCATAACTTTAACTCTGCCTCCCACAACCTGCCTTTTTCTCATAGCTTTACAATAAACAACCTCCTCCCCAAATTGTTGGGTCTGGGTGTGAGATACAGGAATACAGACAGCTCTAAAAAGGCACAGAGTTTGACCCAATTTACCTTTTGATGTCCGTTGTCATAAAATAGTAAATAAATCTAATCCATTGGACCAGACATCTTCCGTTTCATTGGTTTTGTTTGTTTTCCTATGTGAACCAAGCAAGATACATTGCAAAAATCACCAAACCTGTGGAACTGGGGTGTTAAGGGTGAGCAAATGAAAGAACAGTGAGACAGACAGTATTTCTTTTCAGGGGTAAAAGAAAAAATAAATTAGGCTGAGGAAACATCTTCAGAATTGGTGTGGCGCCTGGCTTGGTGTGGTGCCGCAGCAGCATGTTGCATTGCCATCTGGGAGAGTTCAAATAGTATTTAAATCCCAGGCCCTCCAGGCTGCGGGAGGCTAGCTGGGAGAATTATACATTTTGTTTCTTGGGAGGCAAAGGAGGTGCCGGTTGGCTGATGCTGTAAGCATTCCCTGCTGGTTGATCAGCATCTGACAGAAAAGTTTTCTTAACCTCTAGCTAAAGATAAGACCAAAATAACAGACTGTGTGGGGAACAGAAAGAACGAGTTGTGCTACAATAAAAACCTAGCAGTGGAAGTTTATTCCAGCCAGATAGAGGAAGACCCAAAGGCAAAAGGACAGATTTTTAAAGGAACGTAGATATTGCTCTGCTCAGCACTCCAATGGCCAGATTTTAAAGGTATATATATACTAACTGCTGCTTGTTCAGTGGGTTTAAGTACTGGAACACTTTTAAAAATCTGGCCCTAACTGATTTAGTGTCATTTTCACAAGTGAGTTAAAAAGTGAGAAGGTCGGGTCTATTATATGAGGGTGTTTCAGAAATTAATGGCAAAATGAGCGCCCACATCATAGGTCTGAGTCAAAGTGGGAAGCTAGACACCAGTGGGGACACTGTCAAACAAACACATTAATCGTTTATGACTACGTAGAGAGGTGATGTGTTCCACTAAATGATCAATGCACACGAAATAGTTTTATTTTGAAGTTGCCATTAGTTTCTGAAACACTCGTGTAAATCTGTGTTAGTATTGATCTGTCAGTCAGGGGATGAGTAGATGAAATATTACTGACATAGGCATGCTAGCAAACATACCTAATGCAGACAAGGGTACTAGGAAAACTACATTTTCCCAGTCTAGATCATTTCCCTTGGAAAGGCTGGAATAAGCGATCCCAGCAAATGTGCAGTTTTATGAAATAAGCTGTGTCTAAGCTAGAACTGTGCCATTTCAGTAACTCAGAAAAGCTATATAAGCATCATTTCCCTGGCCTAAGTCCCACAGACTTTCAATAGGACTTAGAGTCCAAGTTATTTAAAAAAAAGAGAATACTTACTAGAAGCCAGATTTCTGTAAGTATGAGCCTATACGGGGGCGGGGGGGAGGACTGGGTTATTAAAAATGGCTACATATTAATTTAATTTCCTATGAATTTAATCTAAACAAGACATCAGGTATCTAGGTGGTAGCCATATTGGTCTAGAGGAAAAGGCAATCAGGACCCGTAGTAGAGATGATATCTTTTATTACACCAGCTAGACAGTTGCAAAAAATATATATCTTTATTTGCAAGCTTTTGGGCACAAGTGCCGTTCCTCAGGCATAAGAGAATGCAAAGATTTAAAACATCCCCCAGGTAGACATGAAAATTCATATTTAACAGGAGAGCTGAATGGTGGTGTAAGTTCTCGTGGCAGAAAAAGTTCAATTTATGCAAATTAGGCTCGCATAAAAGTTGGAGCAATCTATTTACCTCAAATGTGAGCCTAATTTGCATAAATTGAACTTTTCCAGCCAGGAGAACTTATACCACCCTTCAGCTCTCCTGTTAAATATGAATTTTCATTTCTACCTGGGAGATATTTTACAATCTTTGCATTCTCTTATGCCTGAGGAAGGGTGCTTGTGCCCGAAAGCTTGCAAATAAAGAAAAAACATTTTTTGCAACTGTCTACGTCTAGTAAAAGATATCACCTCTAGCACACTGACTGCTTGTACTTATAGACCAACATGGCTACAACCTTTATCCCTAAAAAGTATTAAGTAATCCTACAATAGCATGTTCTTTACAAAACAAGTTTCTCTTACAGTCTCATTCTGAAGAATGGTTGCGGGAGAGGCGGGCAGGCTTTGCAAAAAAAAAAAAGGATCAGGCCCCTCACCATAACAATGACAGAAGTCCCTATATTGAAATGGTGGGTTTTTAATTATTACACTTAAAAACTCACGATTTCAAATTTAGGGGACTAAACACACGTCACATGTACAAGCACCCAAAGATATCACCGACAGAAATCCTTGCCTATCCTTTTATTTAAGTAATAAACAAACACTAAAATCTATTTTAAATTGCAAAATTTTAGAGCAAGAATCCTTCTGGTCTGCAGAAGTTGCTCCTATTTAATTCAAGGTAGGAGCATACAAACTAACGTCACAGGATAAAAGGGCAGGGGGATTTGCTACGTTAGATATTCCATGATTACTACCTTGTCATATTCTTTCACCTAATGAGAAATGAAAGCTAAACCATAAGAGCGGAACTGTCAATTAAAGAGGTAATTAGATAGATAGATAAATATTATTACTACCTCCATTTTACAGAAGCTGAAACAAAGTTGTAGAGGGCCTGATTTTTATGTATAAAATGGTCACCTAATCAGGAACACAGAAACTGTCATACCAGATCAGACCTTGGCACAGAAGGTAGGACAGGGTGGCACCTTGGAGATTAAACTGGTTCAGAGAGGTATGAGTTTTCATAGGCAACAACTTGTAATAATCCATCAACTGCTTATAACGCCACTGACATTGGTGACATGGGGCAAGCCCTACATAAAAGAATGAATGGACACCAATTGCACATCAATTCCAGAAACACACAAAAACGTGTAGCACAACATTTTAGCCTCTCTACATTTGATAACTCAGAGTAGTTATCCATAAACAAAACAAAACTTTAAAAACTAATCTGAATGTGAAATTGCAGAACAAGAAATCAGTCAAACTTGTTTGTAGTAACCATGGGCTCAACAGACATTATGGATTTGTATCCTATACCTGGACTAGCCTTTTATTTCAGTGTCCTTTCAGGTGTTCATTTCTTTATTCATCTCAGTTGTTCTAGTCAATGCATTTATTATCTCTTTTAGCAGTTTCCCCTTCCACTGTTACTCCCCTTCTACATAAAATATTTTCTTTCTGCCAGTCTGTTCCTACCACTTGACATATTAGGTTGTTGCCTTGTGCAAGCTCATGCCTCTGAATCAGTTAATCTCCAAAGTGCTTGGCTTGTCCTATCTTGTGCGGATTAGACCTGTGATCCATCTGGTCCAGCATCCTCCTCTGAGTGCTTCAGAGGAAAGAGCAAAAAACCTAGAGAAGGTAAATGTGGAATCTGCTGCTTATATTTGGTCGTATCCTGATCTATAATAAAAATTAGGTTAAGCCTTGAATTGTGATGCATCCTTCCCAAAAGATGCTTGTTATTCTAATTATTAAACTGAATATTCTTGATATTCATATAAATGCTCAGCTCCTTTTTTAATAATGTTCTTATCCTCCGTGACTCCATATGACAACAAGATCCACCAGTTCCCTACATGTCCTACAAAAAAATATTTTCTTATAAATTTCTTTTTAAATACATTGAATGTCCCCTTTTTTCCTGTGTTGTAAGGAAAGGAGAACAGATGTTCTGATCTACTTTCTCTAGATCATTCATTATTTAATATACTTTGAACATATCTCCTTTTCTTCATCTTTTTTTAAAGGTAAGTTCCTGAAACTGCACGTGCAAACCAGTTTCTGAAGCTGCTTGTTCAAATGATTAATTGCCACAATTTGCATCTATATTGATCTAATTTGTGTATGAACTGATAATACTTATATGCAAATCAACCATAAAATTGTGTTAAAAATATAGTCCATAAGAGCTAGGTTGTCATACCCTCAATAAAGTACTATATTGCTCCTCAAATAGCCCCACTGAAATCAAAAGGACTACCTGAGCAGCGTGACACTTGTCAACATAAATAGGGGTATAATAATATGGCCTTCTGCACAATTTTCCCAAGGCTCCTCAAGACCATACTTCAGAGGCAGTCAGACATTGTATGATTCTGAAAGTAAAAGAACAGAATAAAAAGGGGCTAGTTTCTTTTTGTTTACAGGCAAACCAGCTCTGGTGATTAATGTGGAAATCCAGATACAGTTTATTTGGTTAATTGAGTTTTCCAGCTTCAAATAACTAAGGAAAAAAAGTTTGAAATAAAGAAAAAATATGTTTGAGGAGATTTGCTTTTTCCCCAATGTTTTACACTAGTCATAGATTTGCAGTGTTCTGTCATGTGAGTGTTAAGTCAATCAGTCACCAGACATTAGCATCCTATCAAGTTTTACCTGTTATTTGGATCAGGGTTGGGTCTGAGGGCTCTTACCCGGCTGGGGTCGGGGGGAAGTGTAAGGCTCCTTCCCGGGCAGCCACACGCTGCTCAATCTGGGCACAGCTCTTCCCGCCCCTTGGGGTGGGAAGCAGTCTGCGTGCCAATCAAAACCATGCCACATGCCACCTTCAGCACGCATGCCATAAGTTGCTGACCCCCGGAGTAACCTGATCTTAAAAACCTCCAAGAATGTAGATTGCACCACCTCTCTGCTTTAACTACCCTCCTAGTGAAAAAGTTCTTCATAATATCTCACCTAAACTTCCCTTGCTGCAACTTGAGACCATTATTCCTTGTTCTGTTATCTGCTACCACTGAGATACCTGAAGGCATCTATTAAATTCCCTCTCAGTCTTCTCTCAAGTCTGCTTTTCTGAAGTCCAGGGTCCTTACTCAGCTGCTCTCCTTCCTTCCTTTCCTCAGGATCCTGAACTCAATAGTTTCATGGTCACTTATGCCCATGTTGCAATCCAATACTATATTCCCCACCAATTTTTCCCTGTTTGTGAGAAGCAGGTCAAGAGGAACACAGCCCCTAGATAGCCTCTCCAACACTTGTACCAGGAAGTTGTCCCCAACACTCTCCAAAAACTTCCTGGAGATTTTGGAGGAGCATAGCCAGTGGCCTTGGTTTTAGGTTCAGCCCAGAGAGGGTTTGGGTGCTTACTAGAGGATGCACATACTTTGATTTAGTTGCACCTGGGTTTAGCCTGGAGCCCTGCTGAGGCAAGCTCAAGGCCCATTTTAGAGAGCTGGGCCAGAGGGCCCATAGGCCCAGAGGGGGATGAACTGAACTGGGGTCCCCATGCCCAGAGGGGGCAGCTGAGAGCTGGACTGAGGGGTCCAAGAGCCCAGAGAAGGGGCTACATGTGGGGACTGGGATCTCAGAGCTCAGAGAGAAGCTGCGTAAGGAACTAGGAGGTCTGAGGGCCCAGACAGGGGCTGAGAGTATGAAGTGAGAACATGAAGGACTGATGACCCCCACAAAGCTTGGGGCATGATGTAGGGGAGCAATGGACCCACACAATTTGCCCTTAAGGCTACAAGTGCCCTGCAGGGATATGGACAGTCCAAGAAGGGCCGATAGGACTTGTGGGCTAGGTTAAGACCAACAGAGTCCAGGATGAACCCGATGCAAACTGACCTGGGCCCAGACTGGCTCCGCGCTTGTTAGGGCTTTTGTCAGACACAGGCAGCAACACCCAGCTCCCAGCGCTCCCAGCTACTCAGAGCACGTGCCCAAACACACAGTCCACCAAACAAACACTCAGCAAGCCAAACACACAAGCAGCCCTGGCCTACTTACTTTTCCCATAGCAGGATCTGGAGCCTCGTGCCTGGCTTCTCTTCCTCTTCCCTGTCCCCCTCTTTCTCCCAGTGAACTGCTTGCAATCTGCCCTGTTTGCTCCCTCTGTTCACTGGTTCCCATCAGACAAGCTTTTGAGCAGGAGCACACAGTTCTCTTCTTCAGGTGAAGGTGACCTTGTCTAACGTCTCTCCTAACTATACAATTGGTCCAATAAAAGGCATTGTAACATTGTTATATTAAGAAGGGAAAACACTCTGGAAAGAGCAGAGTCAGCAGGCAGGGAGGCACCTAACCATTAAGATAAATCCAGGGCCAGAGATGGGGCAGGCTGTTTCACCCTGGCTCCTGACATGGCAGGAGCTTTTGAGTAGGCAGCAGATAGAGGGAAACTGCACCCCCAGGTGTTAAGAGAAGACAGCCTTAGATCTGATGGGGAGACTGGTGGTGTAGGGATGGTGGTGATACTGTCAACTGGCCCAGGAGGTCAGAGGTCTGGGGGCAGCCAGAGGTCTGGGAGCAGGGCTAGAGGCAGGGCCTGGGAGAGGGAGTAGGAACAGGGCCAGGGGCCTGGTGCCTTTGAGAGGTGGCAATATGGTCAGGGACCCAGAGCCACACCCAGGAGTACCCAGAATGGACAAAGTGCCTGGGTGTGGGCTGACAGAGACAGCAGCCTGAGTCCAGGAGGGGACAGAGAAGGCAGGCCTGAGATATGGAGTAATCAATAACTTCTGCAAGGTATAGGCATGGTGTAAAAGGTGTTTGGAGCCATGTAATAAGTCCTTAAGGCTTATTACTCACTGAGTAGTGACACCTGAACAGCAGCATGGGATCAGGGATCCCTGGGGCAGCCTCTCTTTCTAAAGATCTAATAAATAAAGTGTGGCAGGGGAGGGTAAGGGGAGCAAGCCAAAGAAGCAAAGGCCAAAGAGCAGGGGCTGAGCTGAGGTTAAGGGGAGCAAGCCTAAGAAGCAAAGGCCAAAGAGCAGGGGCTGAGCAGCCACAGGGAGCATCGTGGCCACCCCTGGGACCGGCACCTTGTAAGTTGTATTGTGAGTTTTTGCATGTTTCCTGGACCATAATGGCTACAACAACATTCAAAACCTATTCCAGTCTGGAGTGAGACATTTCAAAATGAGACTAAAGTATTGTGTTGCTTTTTATCAGGAATAGCAGAAACTTGTGGGACTGACTGGATTTCATATGCACATCTAAGGTAAATACTAAAGCAAGGAGTACAGCATTACACAGCACTTGCTTGTATTCAGGCACTAGACAGAAATCATTCTTTCCAAGGAACAGTTACAACTGGCTGCAGTGATTCCATGTAATCAGTACACTTTCCAATAAAAATGTAAATTATTCTTCAATTAAAAGTTCAACAAGGAACACAAAATGTGTGCAATATTCTTAAATGCTTTATGTGTCTGGGTTGAGTACAGACAATGCACTGACAACAGAAACACGAATCTTATCTTTAAATTAATGAAAAGAAGAGGTAAAGAAAACATATTTTTTAGTTTGAAAAGTCTGCAGTATTTAGGAGGAAGTGCAGTGGGCAGGTGGCCATATTGGCTCTGTTTGCCATGGGTTTTATTTTCATTAAAATGTCCTGACAGCAAAACCATTTAACTGCAAATTAATAGAGAGAAAGCAAAAAAAATAGGGGGAAAATGTGTTTAAGCATCCAAGGGCTTTGGCACTGATTGCATCTTATAGTAGTACATCATCATTACAAACAACTATCTATCTTGGTACCAAGCCATTAGTAGCTCTACAGAGTTGTCATTTCAAAGTTTGGCTCATTTTGTATGTGCTCTTTAATTATATCCATGGTGAATCAGCCACACCAATCCTACAGGAACCCTCCATAACCTAGCTTCTCATTGAAAGCTTATCAAGAAAATGAATGAAATAAAGTTGTGCTTTGGTAACTCAAAACTAGATTTAAAAGTGCGCAGAAAGTCAGCCTCCACACTGGCAATAAGCAAAACAAGATAGTAACACAAGGCCCTCAAATGGTTTTTGCTTTGCTCTGTCTACAAATGCAAATCCACACTATCCAAGTTTTCTGAAATTTTCCCCAAGAGTTATGGTCTTTCATTGTCTTTCCCATCAGGTCCTGTGACAGAACCGTCTCTCTTCCCACAGCCAACAGTTCTTTCCTCATATCTCCCACAATATGAGTTGTCTCTTGGTGGGAAGGGAAAACCCTGGACTTATTACCCCTAATAGCAACTTTGGAGAAAGACAGTTTTGTGCTACTTGGTATGTGAATTTCTTCCTTCCTTCTCGCATAGAAAATAAATAAAAATGGCTTCTACTAATCTCCTTGTATGCAGAGTAGCCTCTGTCAAGCCTAAAAAAAATGCCATCTATTACTAACACGATTCAGCCTGAAATGTACATGATACATATCATGGGAAAAGCATATTTTAAAATGTCCAGCACCTAAAGACTGGAAAAAATGCACATATTTCTGAGGAAAATTCTCTGAAATGAAAAGTGATTTAGGAGACACTGATTTTTTTTTTTTCCCTGAAGCTCTGCAGACTTTGTAGCTCATGAAATGAGAGCCATTTCATTATGCAATTGATATTCAAACAGCTGTATCAAGGGTCTCCGACTAGCTATTAGAGTCTCCACTGGCTATTAGCAACTAGAATGTGACATAATAATCAAAGCCATTACAGAAGGTCTGACATTCTATCTGGCAGGGTGCAGCGGTATCAAATGCATACACACCCACCAGCCAATTATGACAATCAGACTGCAATCCAGTAATATAAAACATGAAAATTAGAAAAACAAAACCCCCGTGTCCTATTTTTATAACTCAGCTCAGCATTAGTAACCCATTTTTTGCCAACTGAGGAAAACATTGTCTATGCTGAAGCAAACTACAAAACCCTTGCATATAAAGTCAGTCAGCAGCCAACCTATATCTTCAAAACAAATGTGTGTAGGTGGCACAGACTGCAAGTCACTTAGCAAGCTACCTGTCATTCAACCTTCTCCTCCCTTCCCCTTTTATGTTTCTGTAGCATATATTTCCTTTTGTGTGCTGTGCTTGTGTGCTCCCAGTATAACCCCAAGAAGGTCATTTTTGTGTATTAAGCTGGTCTACTAAATACCAAACTGCATGTTGTCAGGTGTTATCAGATGGGTTATATCCCTTGTAGGTCCTGTTTTCACGTCTCTGGCTGCTACAATGTTTGTCAAGAATAATTTTAGTGCCCTGCATTATGGTGGAGGCACCTTTTTAATTTACACTGTTTGAATAGCTTATTCCCTGAGAACCTCTTGTTAGCCTTGCCAGCCATCCTATAAGACATTTTGTTCCTTACACTGTCTGCTTTCAGCTCCTAGTTTTGATGACATCTCCACATTCAGAGGCTTTTTTCCTGAAATGTGTAGTTTTGCAGTTTTTTTTTTCTTATAATACACAGTCTTAAACTTGTCCACGGTAACAGTGAATTAGTCATTTATTATTTATATCCTTTTGGGCATTTTGGCAGAAGTAATTATAAAACATTATGTGGCTGAGATAGAAGAAAAGTTCCACTGTAAACAAAATATCATAAAACAAACTAAGCAGGAAGAAGAGATTTTATTTGATTCTTAAGCATATTCTGCTTTGCTTTTAAAATTTGCTCCCAAATACCATTCATCTCTCTATTTCTCTGTTTCAGATGTTCACTCCAACTAAGGTCAGACTATGAGAATATTTGAAATGAAAGTATTTGGGGGTTCACCTAGATGGCCTTGAATATATTTTCCAACTCTATGATTCTATATGAGGGCCTTGTTGCACCTTACACTGTGAGCTGCGCAAATGTTGATCAGTGAATAGCTGAAGTTTGACGTAGTCACATGTTCAGACCAGCAGGTGCCTGAAGGACTGAAAGGTGAGAATCCCACACCCCTCCCATTCTGGGTTTTCCCCCTGCCCCTGGAACTTCTCCAGTTCCCCCCTCCACCAGTGCCTCCCCTGCCCCTCAGGGTTCCCCCCTCTCCCCCAACTCCCACCCCTCCCTTGTTACTTATGGCTGCCTGTGCTGTCTATCCCAGGGGAGCAGGCAGGGAAGGGTTAACCCGCCTGCTGGGCTCTTGCTGCTGCTCTTCTCTGGGCTGTGCTTGCCCAGAGAACAGCTGCAGCAGCAGGGCACACAGGTTAACCCTTCCCTGCCTGCTCCCCCAAGAGGGACAGCATGGACAGCTATAAGCAAGCTGGGTGGGAGGGTCTGTGCAGGGAGATCTGGGGTTGGGGTAGGGGGCAGTGGGCCCAATACAGGCCAGCAGGGGATGGGGGGGTAGGCAGGGTATTTACACTAAAGTGTAACCTAGAGTGCCTACACCTTAGTGAGCTGGGTAACACAAAGCAGAGATAATCTTGTCCTGGAGTGATGCAACTTTGAGCCGCATAGCCAGTGCTTAAAATTAGTTTCTGGGGTTAATGTGCAGACAATCCAGGTGTTAAGAGCTCCAAGAGCTGCCCAGAAGTACTGTGTAATAAGATCCTGAGACAGAGCAAAGGATTTGTTACAGGACGTGAGAAGGCAATAATTTGGTCCAAACCTCAAGTGAGGACTTGATTCAAATCCCACAGAAATCCATGAGTGTATTTCCATTAACTTCCGCATCTTTTGAATCAGACACTAAATTATTTTGGATGGGATTTTCAAAAAGTTTCAGGTTTACTTAAGATACTTAAGTCCACTTAGGATTTAGTAAGTGTGGCAACACTGACCTCTGTGATGGGAATTTGCAAATCCAAATTAGGCACCTAAATTCCTTATACAATATCAAACTTTACCACTTCACAGTTTGATAAAGTTCCACGTCCTAAAGTTTTTTCTCATATGCGCTCTATAGCACAAGGCTCTACCTCCCTCAACATTTTTAGTCCATATACTACCACTTCCAGAAAACAAAGTAATTTCAAAGAAACCCTGTTCTGAAACCAAGACTTGGCAGAGATGCCAAGACTAGGCAGAGATGCCTAGTAGCATCTCCATATGCTACTAGGAGACAGATACCTTTATAACGTTGTAGAGTCCAGGTTGCTATTGCATTATTTATATAAAAAAAATCACAGTGTCAGTTTATAAATG